CCCTGTTTCCTGTGTGTTCCTGGTTCCTGACTTCTGGTCTTGTTCCTGACCCCACTGCTCTCCATTCTCCTGATCCTGGCTCGCCTGACTACCCACTCTGGTGCCTGAACCCTGCTTGCTTCCTGGATTTTGCTTTTGGTCATTTCTTTATCTGCTATTTATAATAAAGGTGTTTTGCATCTATGTTCTGTCTCTGTCTGGTTCCAGGTCCCTCACACCTATTTACCAATGAACTCTTTCACTTACTCATCATTTCAATGTTTCATACAAGTTGATAGCAAGTTCATTATATCATACAGTAAACTAATTGAATACAATTAATGCTTTGTCACGTAATAAAAAAACTGTGTCGCCATCTGTAAATAATAAAAGCTTTAATGTTATTGCTATAACTAAATCTATTGTATTCGCATTTTAGTATGCCTAATTTTTATAAATGCCCGTCCAAAAGCAAAGCTACTTAAGTTAATTTTTTTTCTTCAAAAACAACTGCACACCCATGTATTTGTTAGGAATATTAATCTACTTCACGTCTCATGTCTCTTTCGCACCATGTTAATTTTTGCAAGAATTATTTCAGTTTTATTAGTTTTACCTAAAACAATTATCCAGAGGTTTTTCTACACATTGACTTTGAAATTAAAATTGCCACTTGTGCACTGTTGCATAAAATTCTTGTTTTTTTTCTTGTCACTTACAAGTATGTGAAATGAGAAACTAGCCGGTATACCAAATGTCCTTCACAAGTAATTTTTTACACTTTATACCTATCCTTTGGCATCTTATGTTTATTTATATTTATGCTTTATGAGAGAAATGGGAGAAGTAGTGGGATGAGTAAAATATAGGAATGTACAAAACCACAGGAACAAAAACCAAAATAAAACTGCTATAGCAACTATTTCAAGAAAAAGACTTATTAGAGAATGCGGGCATCGATCCTGCTACCTCTCACATGCAAAGCGAATGCTCTACCATTTGAGCTAATGCCTCATGTGTGCGTAAAACCAGCTCTGTGTACCGGCAGAATATAGAACATAATACAAGACGGATGAAGGCAAGAACCAAAAAGGCAACTGCAAGAAAATAATCAAAGCAAGAACAAGCAATGCTAGGTCTTTATGCCAGAACCTCCTCTCTCCTGAAGAACAAGAAGCAAAGAAAATGATGGAAATCATCCTTCAGAGTGGAACTGAACAAGCAACCCACGGAATTCTACTTGGGAAAAATGCATCAATTAAGAGCAACAAGAAAAAAATCAAATGTCATTCGAGCCGGAATTGAACCAGTGACACAAGGATTGCTAACATATACCATCTACAGTCCTCCGCACTACCAGCGGAGATATCGAAGGTAATTTGGGAGTGCACTCAATGTCAAAGTAGGATATTTTTGAAGAATCAGATACGCAGTTACAAATTTTGCAAAATGCTGCTGTGGCAATGACATCCAGGTAAACAAAAAGTTCAAACTGAACACTATTCATTTAAAAGAAAGTCCTGCAACTGGAGAATACGGGCATCGATCCCGCTACGTCTCACATGCAAAGCTCTACCATTTGAGCTAATTCCCCACTTTGCCTGAATAATGCCGTATAGGTTGTGTCCTCAGAGGCAGAACCAGAGACAAAGGAAGGAAAAGCCTTGAAAAGTCAAAGCGATAGAATTCAGATTTTAAGCCTGCCAAGCTCATCAACTTTGCGTACCGATAGAACAGTGATGGCGAACCTTTTTGAGCCCGAGTGCCCAAACCGCAATACATGCCAACATTTTTTCTCCTTAAAGTGCCAACACGGCAATTAAACCGAAATACTGAGGTTTAAGTTTAGAAAAAAACAACTCGTACTGTTGTCTGAACTAATAACTTTTGTTTTAAAAGAACACAGAGAGTTCAATGATACAAATTTTAAATAATGATATAAATAGATAAAATTATGCTTATATTTATTAGTATCTCCAACAAATGCAATACATACACACACAGACTGCTGAATACATACACACAGTCTGCTGAATACACACACACACAAGACTGCTGAATACAGAGACTGATGAATACACACACACAGTCTGCTGAATACACATACAGACAGACTGCTGAGTGTACACACACACACAGACTGCTGAGTACACACACACAGACTGCTGAGTACACACACACAGACTGCTGAATACACACACACACACAGACTGCTGAGTACACACACACACAGACTGCTGAGTACACACACACACACAGACTGCTGAGTACACACACACACAGACTGCTGAGTACACACAGACTGCTGAGTACACACAGACTGCTGAATACACACACACAGACTGCTGAGTACACACACACAGACTGCTGAATACACACACACAGACTGCTGAATACACGCAAACACACACAGTCCGCTGAATACACGCAAACACACACAGACTGCTGAATACACGCACACACACACACTGCTGAATACACGCACACACACACACACACACTGCTGAATACACACATACTGCATTGAGGTGGGGGGTGCGTGTGTGTGTGAGTGTTGTATGTGGGGGGTGCTGGGTGTGTGTGTGGGGGGTGCTGTGTGTGTGTGTGTGTGTGGGGGTGCTGTGTGTGTGTGCTATATGTGTAAGGGTGTAAGGGTAGCTGTGTGTGGGGGGGTAGGGGTACTGCTGGGGGTAGGGTACTGTGTGTGGGGGTAGGGTACTGCTGGGAGGGTAGGGGTACTGTGTGAGGGGGGTAGGGGGTACTGCTGGGGGTTTAGGGGTACCTGTGTATGGGGGTTAGGGGTACTGCTGGGGGGTTAGGGGTTACTGCTGGGGAGGGTAGGGGGTACTGCTGGGGAGGGTAGGGGTTACTGCTGGGGGTTAGGGGTTACTGCTGGGGGTTAGGGGTTACTGCTGGGGAGGGTAGGGGTTACTGCTGGGGAGGGTAGGGGTTACTTCTGGGGGGGGTAAGGGTTACTGCTGGGGGGGTAGGGTTACTGCTGGGGAGGTAGGGGTTACTGCTGGGGGAGGGTAGGGGTTACTGCTGGGGGGGGTTAGGGGTTCTGCTGGGGGGGTAGGGGTTACTGCTGGGGAGGTATGGGTGCTGTGTCAGTATACCCCCCTCCCCTCCTTCTTACCTTTAATGAAGTAGGGGGGGGGGGACAGCGATCCCTGGTGGTCCGGTGGTGGTAAGCACTGCAGGGGGAGGGCTCCAGGAAACAGCTCCCCTGTCCTCCCGCGCAATGCTGTGTGGAGCGTTGCCATGGTAACGCGAGGCAACGCTCCACACAGCATCGCGCGGGAGGACAGGGGAGCTGCTTCCTGGAGCCCTCCCCTGCCTCCCGACCCGGAAGCAGAGTAGGCGCCTGCCGTTTCGGGCAGGCGCCTACTCTGCATTGATGGCAAACCTGTGGCCGCGTGCCCACAGAAAGGGCCCGGCGTGCCACCTGTGGCACGCGTGCCATAGGTTCGCCATCACTGCGATAGAATATAGAGCATCCTCAGAGGCAGAACCAGAGACAAAGGAAGGAAATGCCTTGAAAAGTTAAAGCGCTAGAATTCAGATTTTAAGCCAGCCAAGCTCTTAAACTTTGCGTACCGATAGAATATAGAGCATCCTCAAAGGCAGAATCAGAGACAATGGAAGGAAATGCCTTGAAAAGTCAAAGTGCTAGAATTCAGATTTTAAGCCTGCCAAGCTCTTAAACTTTGCGTACCGATAGAATATAGAGCATCCTCAGAGGTAGAACCAGAGACAAAGGAAGGAAATGCCTTGAAAAGTCAAAGCGCTAGAATGCAGATTTTAAGCCTGCCAAGCTCTTCAACTTTGTGTACCGATAGAATATGGAGCATCCTCAGAGGCAGAACCAGAGACAAAGGAAGGAAATGCCTTGAAAAGTCAAAGTGCTAGAATTCAGATTTTAAGCCAGCCAAGCTCTTAAACTTTGCGTACCGATAGAATATAGAGCATCCTCAGAGGCAGAATCAGAGACAATGGAAGGAAATGCCTTGAAAAGTCAAAGTGCTAAAATTCAGATTTTAAGCCTGCCAAGCTCTTAAACTTTGCGTACCGATTGAATATAGAGCATGATACTGAGTGGATGAAGACCAAAAAAACAAAAGGCAATTGAAAGAAATATGTAACAGCAGGAACAAGCAATGCCAGATCTCGACGCAAGGACCTCCCCTCCCCTTAAGAAAAATAAACAATGAAAATGAGGCAAAAAATCCTTCAGGGCAGAACTGAAGCAGCAATCCTAGAAACGGTATTTGAGGGAAATGGGAGAAGAAGTAGTGGGATGAGTGAAATATGGGAATGTACCAAGCCACCGGAACAAAAAAACAACAAGTCCTGTGAGTTGGAATTGAACCAGCGACCTGAGGGGAAAGAAAGAAAATGACATGAAAAGGCAAAGTGCTAGAATGAAGTTTTTGTGATTGCCAAGGTAAGGCAAGCAAAGGCCAATAAAAATTCTCATTGAGTTCAACTTTTAAAATTTCTAGTTGTGTGTAAGAATTTCTCTTGAATCGTGCATGTTGTTTTTGTCAAATATGCAAGTATGCAAAAAACAAAACGGAGTTGAACAATCGATGTAAGCTTTGTTGTTCATGTTAAATTTTTTTCCAGCATTGCTATATCAACTAGTTCAAGCAAACGCTTTGAAGAAAAAGACTTATTGGAGAATGCGGGCATCGATCCCGCTACCTCTCACATGCTAAGCGAGCGCTCTACCATTTGAGCTAATCCCCCACGCTTGCACAAGACCAGCTCTGTGTACCGGCAGAATATAGAACATAATACAAGACGGATGAAGGCAAAAACCAAAAAGGCAACTGTAAGAAAATAGTCAAAGCAAGAACAAGCAATGCTAGGTCTTTATGCCAGAACCTCCTCTCCTCTGAAGAAAAAGAAGCAAAGAAAATGATGGAAATCATCCTTCAGAGTAGAACTGAACAAGCAACCTATGGAATTCTACTTGAGAAAAATGCATCAATTAAGAGCAACAAGAAAAAAATCATATGTCCTTCGAGCCGGAATTGAACCAGCGACCTAAGGTTTGCTAATATATACCAACTACAGTCCTCCGCTCTACCAGCTGAGCTATCGAAGGTAATTTGTGAGTGCATCCAATGTCAAAGTAGGATATTTTTGAAGAATCAGGTAAGCAGTTAAAAAATTTGCAAAATGCTGCTGTGGCAATGACATCCAAGTAAACAAAAAGTTCAAACTGAAAACTATTCATTTAAAAGAAAGGCCTGCAACTGGAGAATGCAGGCATCGATCCCGCTACCTCTCACATGCAAAGCGAGCGCTCTACCATTTGAGATAATTCCCCACTTTGCCTGAATAATGCCGCATAGCTTGTGTCCTCAGAGGCAGAACCAGAGACAAAGGAAGGAAAAGCCTTGAAAAGTCAAAGCGCTAGAATTCAGATTTTAAGCCTGCCAAGCTCTTTACCTTTGCGTACCGATAGAATATAGAGCATCCTCAGAGGCAGAACCAGAGACAAAGGAAGGAAATCCCTTGAAAAGTCAAAGTGCTAGAATTTAGATTTTAAGCCTGCCAAGCTCTTTACCTTTGCGTACCGATAGAATATAGAGCATCCTCAGAGGCAGAACCAGAGACAAAGGAAGGAAATGCCTTGAAAAGTCAAAGCGCTAGAATGCAGATTTTAAGCCTGCCAAGCTCTTCAACTTTGTGTACCGATAGAATATGGAGCATCCTTAGAGGCAGAACCAGAGACAAAGGAAGGAAATGCCTTGAAAAGTCAAAGTGCTAGAATTCAGATTTTAAGCCAGCCAAGCTCTTAAACTTTGCGTACCGATAGAATATAGAGCATCCTCAGAAGCAGAATCAGAGACAAAGGAAGGAAATGCCTTGAAAAGTCAAAGTGCTAGAATTTAGATTTTAAGCCAGCCAAGCTCTTAAACTTTGCGTACCGATAGAATATAGAGCATTCTCAGAGGCAGAATCAGAGACAATGGAAGGAAATGCCTTGAAAAGTCAAAGTGCTCGTATTCAGATTTTAAGCCCGCCAAGCTCTTAAACTTTGCGTACCGATAGAATATAGAGCATCCTCAGAGGCAGAACCAGAGACAAAGGAAGGAAAGGAAGGAAATGCTAGAGTCGCTAGAATGCAGATTTTAAGCCTGCCAAGCTCTTAAACTTTGCGTACCGATTGAATATAGAGCATGATACTGAGTGGATGAAGACCAAAAAAACAAAAGGCAATTGAAAGAAATATGTAACAGCAGGAACAAGCAATGCCAGATCTCTACGCAAGGACCTCCCCTCCCCTTAAGAAAAATAAACAATGAAAATGAGGCAAAAAATCCTTCAGGGCAGAAATGAAGCAGCAATCCTAGAAACGCTATTTGAGGGAAATGGGAGAAGAAGTAGTGGGATGAGTGAAATATGGGAATGTACCAAGCCACCGGAACAAAAAAACAACAAGTCCTTTGACTTGGAATTGAACCTGCGACCTAAGGGGAAAGAAAGAAAATGCCATGAGAAGGCAAAGTGCTAGAATGAAGTTTTTGTGATTGCCAAGGTAAGGCAAGCAAAGGCCAATAAAAATTCTCATTGAGTTCAACTTTTAAAATTTCTAGTTGTGTGTAAGAATTTCTCTTGAATCGTGCATGTTGTTTTTGTCAAATATGCAAGTATGCAAAAAACAAAATGGAGTTGAACAATCGATGTAAGCTTTGTTGTTCATGTTAAATTTTTTTCCAGCATTGATATAGCAACTAGTTCAAGCAAACGCTTTGAAGAAAAAGACTTATCGATCCCGCTACCTCTCACATGCTAAGCGAGCGCTCTACCATTTGAGCTAATCCCCCATGCGTGCATAAGGGCAGCTCTGTGTACCGGCAGAATATAGAACATAATACAAGACGGATGAAGGCAAAAACCAAAAAGGCAACTGTAAGAAAATAGTCAAAGCAAGAACAAGCAATGCTAGTTCTTTATGCCAGAACCTCCTCTCCCCTGAAGAAAAAGAAGCAAAGAAAATGATGGAAATCATCCTTCAGAGTAGAACTGAACAAGCAACCTACGGAATTCTACTTGAGAAAAATGCATCAATTAAGAGCAACAAGAAAAAAATCATATGTCCTTCGAGCCGGAATTGAACCAGCGACCTAAGGATTGCTAACATATACCAACTACAGTCCTCCGCTCTACCAGCTGAGCTATCGAAAGTAATTTGTCAGTGCATCCAATGTCAAAGTAGGATATTTTTGAAGAATCAGGTAAGCAGTTAAAAAATTTGCAAAATGCTGCTGTGGCAATGACATCCAAGTAAACAAAAAGTTCAAACTGAACACTATTCATTTAAAAGAAAGGCCTGCAACTGGAGAATGCGGGCATCGATCCCGCTACCTCTCACATGCAAAGCGAGCGCTCTACCATTTGAGCTAATTCCCCACTTTGCCTGAACAATGCCGTATAGCTTGTGTCCTCAGAGGCAGAACCAGAGACAAAGGAAGGAAAAGCCTTGAAAAGTCAAAGCGCTAGAATTCAGATTTTAAGCCTGCCAAGCTCATCAACTTTGCGTACCGATAGAATATAGAGCATCCTCAGAGGCAGAACCAGAGACAAAGGAAGGAAATGCCTTGAAAAGTCAAAGCGCTAGAATGCAGATTTTAAGCCTGCCAAGCTCTTCAACTTTGTGTACCGATAGAATATGGAGCATCCTCAGAGGCAGAACCAGAGACAAAGGAAGGAAATGCCTTGAAAAGTCAAAGTGCTAGAATTCAGATTTTAAGCCAGCCAAGCTCTTAAACTTTGCGTACCGATAGAATATAGAGCATCCTCAGAAGCAGAATCAGAGACAAAGGAAGGAAATGCCTTGAAAAGTCAAAGTGCTAGAATTCAGATTTTAAGCCAGCCAAGCTCTTAAACTTTGCGTACCGATAGAATATAGAGCATCCTCAGAGGCAGAATCAGAGACAAAGGAAGGAAATGCCTTGAAAAGTCAAAGTGCTAGAATTCAGATTTTAAGCCTGCCAAGCTCTTAAACTTTGCGTACCGATAGAATATAGAGCATCCTCAGAGGCAGAACCAGAGACAAAGGAAGGAAAGGAAGGAAATGCTAGAGTCGCTAGAATGCAGATTTTAAGCCTGCCAAGCTCTTAAACTTTGCGTACCGGTTGAATATAGAGCATGATACTGAGTGGATGAAGACCAAAAAAACAAAAGGCAATTGAAAGAAATATGTAACAGCAGGAACAAGCAATGCCAGATCTCGACGCAAGGACCTCCCCTCCCCTTAAGAAAAATAAACAATGAAAATGAGGCAAAAAATCCTTCAGGGCAGAACTGAAGCAGCAATCCTAGAAACGCTATTTGAGGGAAATGGGAGAAGAAGTAGTGGGATGAATGAACTATGGGAATGTACCAAGCCACCGGAACAAAAAAACAACAAGTCCTTTGAGTTGGAATTGAACCAGCGACCTGAGGGGAAAGAAAGAAAATGCCATGAGAAGGCAAAGTGCTAGAATGAAGTTTTTGTGATTGCCAAGGTAAGGCAAGCAAAGGCCAATAAAAATTCTCATTGAGTTCAACTTTTAAAATTTCTAGTTGTGTGTAAGAATTTCTCTTGAATCGTGCATGTTGTTTTTGTCAAATATGCAAGTATGCAAAAAAACAAAACGGAGTTGAACAATCGATGTAAGCTTTGTTGTTCATGTTAAATTTTTTTCCAGCATTGCTATATCAACTAGTTCAAGCAAACGCTTTGAAGAAAAAGACTTATTGGAGAATGCGGGCATCGATCCCGCTACCTCTCACATGCTAAGCGAGCGCTCTACCATTTGAGCTAATCCCCCACGCTTGCACAAGACCAGCTCTGTGTACCGGCAGAATATAGAACATAATACAAGACGGATGAAGGCAAAAACCAAAAAGGCAACTGTAAGAAAATAGTCAAAGCAAGAACAAGCAATGCTAGGACTTTATGCCAGAACCTCCTCTCCCCTGAAGAAAAAGAAGCAAAGAAAATGATGGAAATCATCCTTCAGAGTAGAACTGAACAAGCAACCTACGGAATTCTACTTGAGAAAAATGCATCAATTAAGAGCAACAAGAAAAAAATCATAAGCCTGCCAAGCTCATCAACTTTGCGTACCGATAGAATATAGAGCATCCTCAGAGGCAGAACCAGAGACAAAGGAAGGAAATGCCTTGAAAAGTCAAAGCGCTAGAATGCAGATTTTAAGCCTGCCAAGCTCTTCAACTTTGTGTACCGATAGAATATGGAGCATCCTCAGAGGCAGAACCAGAGACAAAGGAAGGAAATGCCTTGAAAAGTCAAAGTGCTAGAATTCAGATTTTAAGCCAGCCAAGCTCTTAAACTTTGCGTACCGATAGAATATAGAGCATCCTCAGAAGCAGAATCAGAGACAAAGGAAGGAAATGCCTTGAAAAGTCAAAGTGCTAGAATTTAGATTTTAAGCCAGCCAAGCTCTTAAACTTTGCGTACCGATAGAATATAGAGCATCCTCAGAGGCAGAATCAGAGACAATGGAAGGAAATGCCTTGAAAAGTCAAAGTGCTCGTATTCAGATTTTAAGCCTGCCAAGCTCTTAAACTTTGCGTACCGATAGAATATAGAGCATCCTCAGAGGCAGAACCAGAGACAAAGGAAGGAAAGGAAGGAAATGCTAGAGTCGCTAGAATGCAGATTTTAAGCCTGCCAAGCTCTTAAACTTTGCGTACCGATTGAATATAGAGCATGATACTGAGTGGATGAAGACCAAAAAAACAAAAGGCAATTGAAAGAAATATGTAACAGCAGGAACAAGCAATGCCAGATCTCGACGCAAGGACCTCCCCTCCCCTTAAGAAAAATAAACAATGAAAATGAGGCAAAAAATCCTTCAGGGCAGAAATGAAGCAGCAATCCTAGAAACGCTATTTGAGGGAAATGGGAGAAGAAGTAGTGGGATGAGTGAAATATGGGAATGTACCAAGCCACCGGAACAAAAAAACAACAAGTCCTTTGAGTTGGAATTGAACCAGCGACCTGAGGGGAAAGAAAGAAAATGCCATGAGAAGGCAAAGTGTTAGAATGAAGTTTTTGTGATTGCCAAGGTAAGGCAAGCAAAGGCCAATAAAAATTCTCATTGAGTTCAACTTTTAAAATTTCTAGTTGTGTGTAAGAATTTCTCTTGAATCGTGCATGTTGTTTTTGTCAAATATGCAAGTATGCAAAAAACAAAACGGAGTTGAACAATCGATGTAAGCTTTGTTGTTCATGTTAAATTTTTTTCCAGCATTGCTATATCAACTAGTTCAAGCAAACGCTTTGAAGAAAAAGACTTATTGGAGAATGTGGGCATCGATCCCGCTACCTCTCACATGCTACGCGAGCGCTCTACCATTTGAGCTAATCCCCAACGCGTGCATAAGACCAGCTCTGTGTACCGGCAGAATATAGAACATAATACAAGACGGATGAAGGCAAAAACCAAAAAGGCAACTGTAAGAAAATAGTCAAAGCAAGAACAAGCAATGCTAGGTCTTTATGCCAGAACCTCCTCTCCCCTGAAGAAAAAGAAGCAAAGAAAATGATGGAAATCATCCTTCAGAGTAGAACTGAACAAGCAACCTACGGAATTCTACTTGAGAAAAATGCATCAATTAAGAGCAACAAGAAAAAAATCATATGTCCTTCGAGCCGGAATTGAACCAGCGACCTAAGGATTGCTAACATATACCAACTACAGTCCTCCGCTCTACCAGCTGAGCTATCGAAGGTAATTTGTGAGTGCATCCAATGTCAAAGTAGGATATTTTTGAAGAATCAGGTAAGCAGTTAAAAAATTTGCAAAATGCTGCTGTGGCAATGACATCCAAGTAAACAAAAAGTTCAAACTGAACACTATTCATTTAAAAGAAAGGCCTGCAACTGGAGAATGCGGGCATCGATCCCGCTACCTCTCACATGCAAAGCGAGCGCTCTACCATTTGAGCTAATTCCCCACTTTGCCTGAATAATGCCGTATAGCTTGTGTCCTCAGAGGCAGAACCAGAGACAAAGGAAGGAAAAGCTTTGAAAAGTCAAAGCGCTAGAATTCAGATTTTAAGCCTGCCAAGCTCATCAACTTTGCGTACCGATAGAATATAGAGCATCCTCAGAGGCAGAACCAGAGACAAAGGAAGGAAATGCCTTGAAAAGTCAAAGCGCTAGAATGCAGATTTTAAGCCTGCCAAGCTCTTCAACTTTGTGTACCGATAGAATATGGAGCATCCTCAGAGGCAGAACCAGAGACAAAGGAAGGAAATGCCTTGAAAAGTCAAAGTGCTAGAATTCAGATTTTAAGCCAGCCAAGCTCTTAAACTTTGCGTACCGATAGAATATAGAGCATCCTCAGAAGCAGAATCAGAGACAAAGGAAGGAAATGCCTTGAAAAGTCAAAGTGCTAGAATTTAGATTTTAAGCCAGCCAAGCTCTTAAACTTTGCGTACCGATAGAATATAGAGCATCCTCAGAGGCAGAATCAGAGACAATGGAAGGAAATGCCTTGAAAAGTCAAAGTGCTCGTATTCAGATTTTAAGCCTGCCAAGCTCTTAAACTTTGCGTACCGATAGAATATAGAGCATCCTCAGAGGCAGAACCAGAGACAAAGGAAGGAAAGGAAGGAAATGCTAGAGTCGCTAGAATGCAGATTTTAAGCCTGCCAAGCTCTTAAACTTTGCGTACCGATTGAATATAGAGCATGATACTGAGTGGATGAAGACCAAAAAAACAAAAGGCAATTGAAAGAAATATGTAACAGCAGGAACAAGCAATGCCAGATCTCGACGCAAGGACCTCCCCTCCCCTTAAGAAAAATA